CTCTATTTTATAATCTTATTCTTTCTCTTTTTTATTCCGTTTATTTTGTTTTTCCTATTTCGTAGTTAGAGAATCGAACAAAGAACCGTTGAATGCGTACAGCCGAACGAAATAAATAGGGGAAAAAATGTTATATGTTTCGTTTGTATTCTTATATTAAATTTTACTTTCAAAATTTTTATGTTCGCGGAATCTTTGCCACACGTAGGCAAGTTTCTTTTTAGAGCGACTGACTACCGAATTTGATAATGATAGTCACGGATTGATTTAGGATGTGTAAAGTGTACACAGCGTTTACAAATGCATGAACACATACAGCACACATTTTGAGTGTTGACTCGTTGTTATTGTTAGCCTGTTAGTTAATTAGTAAGAGTTGCAAATGCGGGCTATAGTTGGTCCCTGTCCCTGGAGCCCAGACACCCCCTGTTCTGGAGAATAATTGAAATGAAAAACATAAGCGAAGCCTAATAGCGTTTTACACATACCCCCGAATTGTGACGAAAAAAGTAGATAAAAGATGAGAAAGATCAATTCATTTGTAACGAAGTGACTGCATATCACCGTATTGTCTTATCGTATATAGCATCAACGAAAAAAACTAGCATAAACTTCGGGCTCGTTGGATACAATGCATACAGGAGTAGGTATGAAAGAAATGCAATTCCGTGTGAGAATAATAAAAGGAATGTCAAGGAATTAAACAACCAGGCAAAAAACAAAACATGCCCACGATTCCTATTCATTGATGGCTTTTTAATCGATCAATTTCCACAAACAACAGACTATCGATATATAGTGGTCGATTGGTTTTAAACTCTCGTATCGACGAATATTTTGTTGCACATTTTATTCATAATTACTCAAGTCCGATTTTATTTTGTCATTGATACAAATCTCGTAACGATGACACACAGCTGTAAACTAACGATCCAAGTTCCCTCACTTCTACTTCCTGTCCCCGGTCATGCGGTCGTGTAAATGAAACAAGTAGAGAGAAAAGGAATGAACGAGCGTGCGATTGGTACGTAGATAAAGCAAGACGTAAGAAAAAGGAAGAACGGAAGTGCATGAATGAAAATGGTTGATAGGACATCGGAGTGGATAAAAAAGGAAAGAAAGAGGGCGAGAGTGAACGAGTGAGAGTGTACGACTGAGTGAATCGGCGAGTAAATGAGTGGAAGAGAAGAAGAAGGGAAGCGAAAGAATAGAGGGAAGCTAGAGAAAAGCCAGCAGTTGAAAAAAATTACTGATCTTATCCATGCCAATCAACGTTATTACCTTTCATTTCTTTAGTCCTTTTTCCTCGTAACTCATTATTCACTTACCATATTTTATACCTACCTATTCTACTTATCTACACATCCTATTTATAAAAACATAATATCAAGGATATAATAATATTAATATTAACGATATGATAAGAATGATATTGCTAATTATACTGAGTGGGTTTTTGTAACACAATAACGTTTCAATATAAATTCTGGTTTTCCTTCGAAATTATAATAGAGGAAGATTATATACTTGTATAAGGCAGGCAGATGGGAAGCAAGTATGCGAGAACGAAAGAAAGAAAGAAAGGAAAGAAAGAAAGAAGAAACGAGCGAACGAAAAAAGAGGAAAAGTTCAGCTTGCGGGGGCAAGGAAGCATAACCTGGCAAAAGCGGAGGCAGTTCACGGTGACGAGACTTTAGACTGATCTAGGTACTAGCGTTACGATATTGGCCCTACCCCAGCGTTAAGGCGCCCCAATATTATATCATTTATCCTTTGCTATTTTATACAATTGACCGGTGTGGCAGCTGGGGTGCCTGGGGGTTATCGGTCGCATTTAGGATAATGCACCACTGTGGCTGACGATGCTGTAGCCGCGCGCACCCTTTTACCCGGTCATTGCCCTAATTTGCGGCACACATCCTTGGGAACTTGACTCTTCTTGGTTGGCCCGTGTCAAGCGGATGTTGTGTGATTTTTGGGTCGCTCAATTTATGTTAATAACGACCCAAAAAGACGTGTTTTTTAATTATATATAAATATATTATATATTATATTCCTGCGGATATGCATTTTGTGACGTGATGTTATTTAGCACTAATGAGGAAATCAACAAAAATGAAGAATTGTACGGAAACAAAATGAAAGAAAAATATTTAAAAAAACAAAAAAAAAAAAGGAAAAAAATGTACGTAACACTATTCACACGAACATATATATGGTTTATGTTTCTCGCGCCACACATGCCACGTGTCAGCTCCACGGCTAAAAGTGAACAACAAATTTCAAACGACCAAATTCTTTTAACGTTGATAATTGCGTTTTCAGATTATTTTTTATTATTATTATTCATCATCTTCCAATTGCTTTGCTTTTTTTTAATTCCCGCAATTTGAAAAGTTGTCCCTAATTTTAGTGTGACGTAGTTGAACGTAATAATTATTGATGAATTTAAAATAATGTTGAAATGGTTCCTTTTTCGGGCTAGGAGCTTGATTTAAAGTGTCAAAGATTTTTGTGTATGACCAGATGTATTCTACATGTCTCAATAAACAGTTGTATGTGAATTACCTTTCTTAAACGATGATATATTTATTTGTATACTATTAAAATACATTGTTCTTTCCCCTTTTCTTCATCCACTATATGTCATTTATTTCTATTATCGCCTAATGCCTTCTTTCGATTAGACGACGGATTTGGTTCTAAAAAGATGAACCGAATAAAATACATCTGTATCTATATTTATTGTATTTTAATTATGCATTAAGCAACCCCTGAATCAGTTGTTTCTCCCCACTCTGATTCACTCTAGCGACCTCTACCCTATCGTTAGGGCGTGTTGGGGTAGGCAGTACTTCCGCAGAAGCAGACTGATCAAGGGTTGCTTAACGCGTTATGTATCTATTGTATCGTTTTGTCAGTTCTTTTCTCTTTTCATTTAATCATACATATATTCCTGTGCAAATATTTGCGCGAGCACACGCAACATATTGTATATAGGTACACACTCAGTACCTGTTTTTCTGTTCTCATGTAACTGAAGTGTCGAAACGATACCGTGTTGATTTTACATTTATTTTATTGTCAAGTATAATAACGGCAACGAAATACGCGATAACGAAAAATCAACGTTAAAACCAATATATTTTCTGTTATCGTTTAGCCACATCTGTTACATATTGTTCCGTTCCTCGCGATCTAGTGTATATAGTTTTAACAAGATTGTGCTACATAATAGGGTAAAGTAATATTTTCAAAAAAGCTACACACTGGATTATTGTACAAAAAAGATCCTCTACGTAATTACACAGTCGTCATTTCCATCACGGCGGAAGAGGTTCCGAAGCCCAACGACCCGCCGTGATCGAGCAGCATAACATGATCCAGTGTAAGGTATCGCTAAGACAATGTATAGTACGTACTAATTCAAAAGTGAAACCTTTTTATATTTTTTAAATTAAACTTTCACTAACGTATTTGTGATGACTCTGTGATTAAAATGAGGCCAAGCACGATATAATTTGAATTATGTTTACTTATTGGTATGTACTTAATTATCATTTACTAAGTAAGAAAATATGCTCCAAATTATATTGTGTTTGGTATCATTTTAGTTAGAAAAATGTAACGAACATGTTTAAAGCAAAAGTTTAATGTAAAAGTTTTCATTCATCACAAATCAAAAATAAGGAAATTTGATTTTTGAGTTAAAATAAAAAATAAGAAAGTTGGATTTTTTAATTAAAGGTCCCAGTTTGTCGCGGGCTTTATATGTTGCCGGACGCTTTGACTTTCAGCCTTTCTTTCTCTTTCACTCGTATTGTCATTTTCCACGTTCGGTACGTTTAGAATCTCAGTCTCCAGAAATCTGTATAACCGCAAAACTTGGATCCCGATTTTTATGCAATTATCCAGTGTTTCTGTAGATGAAAAGAGAAAGCAAGGGCTTTTACAAAAAAAGATATTAAAGAATTTAATCTTATAAACGATATCATTAAATTTTCCCATCACGTTCCACTTATTCGAATGTTATAGCATATGAAGTGTAAAATTTCAATTTTGAACATGATTTTCTAAAGTGCATACCTACGATATATACGCACATACTAAGTGTACATATTTGAAGTGTATTTAATCTATTTCTGGTGAGAAAAAAAACATAGAAAGCAATACGTACAAGTATGTAAGTAATTGACTTTGTGCAATTCGTATCGCGAAGAATTTGATGACTTGCATTGACCGACATTTGCATTTCTTAGATACATCAAAACGAGAGTGAAAGATTTTTTTCTGTTACAAATTGGATGAAATTTCCTTTGTTGTATATGGTGTATAACGAGTCGCTGAAAAGATCATATGATGCGCGTTATATGTTATATTTACCATGGATCGTTATCAAGTGTGTGTACGTATGCATCTTTTCATTTTCTTTCTTCGTTTTTTTCGCATGAAAAATGGACCAAACATGACGGTTTATGACATGAAAAAATTTCATTTACTACAGTGATACGTACTATTTTTGTAAATGGAAAAAATAACGTTTAGTAAAATTGTTCAGGCCATATAGTAAAGAGGTTAGTGGCTTATAGTATGTGGCGCGCAAAATTCTCGGGTGTCACTAGCGGCGCTGCTGTGTTATTGACCATTTTGCTATCCTTATCGAAATTCAAAGAGGGAAGATGATGGCGACGACGATGACAGGGTACAATGCGGCGGGGTGCTTTGAATACTAAGGTGTTTTGTTTTTTTTCAAAATCGTTTTACGATTCGTACAACCGTATTATGAACTATACCGTAACATAACGATATGTAACAAACCGAAAATAATACATAGGTCGTGATCGTAAGAATAATAGTGAATGATGCGGTGAATGGCATAAAGGGCTAAAATGAGGGCGTGGCAAATAAACGTGACACGTGTTCAGGATATTAATCGAATTGCTTTGTATCTTCGTGTGTTTACGTGGTATTTAAATTCATTTCTTCCGTATTGGCATCTAGACCGATTCTGCAAAATGAGCGTGGAGAACTTTTTTATGATATTTGGTTATAGCTGATGATAAAAGTTTATACTAGTATATACTACAGTGTCATAATGCATAACAAAACTAGTTAATCAGTTCTTTTTCTTTTTCACATTTCCTTCTATTTTTCTTCGGTACATCAACCTATAAGAATGTAAAGAACTGAACGGGTCTTGTTCGTTTAACGAGTTGGTGAGGTGTGGCGGCAGAGGTGACTTGGAAAGTAACCTGTGTCTATTGGCATACTCGATGTCATTTATACTTACAACTTTTCAATTCTCCACTTTAATCGTTCAGTATGGTGTTTGTGAGACGAAAAGAGATTCTTGTGAGACGATATTCGCTATCGTAAATGCTCGATAAAACATACATACAATAGATATGTAACATTGGTTTGATTACATTCATTTTAAACGTTCTGTGTTAATTATAAATTTCAACGTTATATTATAGCATATAAAATCCAACGGAATTAGCGGAATAATCTAACTTGCTTGAACTCATGTAATTGCAGATGATCTTGAAGATCGATGTTGAATATTTTTCCTGTGTGTGGAATAGAAACTGACGATATGGTAGAATCACAGTTGCCACTATTAGTGGTTTCTCTACAATTTGGCCGTAATAGCGAATAAAAAGTATATACATCATGGTTTCAATCGAGACGAAATTGATTCAGCAAAATGCAAATGTGTATTCCTAGGATGCAGTATGGCTTCGATACTCTACTGGCATGCTTCTGGGAATAATTTGATTTCTGCTGCTTTTATCTTATTCTTACTACTTTGTCCTCGCAGCAGTACAGGTTAGTGATGATGTTCGTTTACCTCTCTGTTTCACTTTCCTTTACATCAACTGGATTTAGATAATTGTTCAGTGATAACAAGATAGAATCAGCAACAATTGTCGTCATACGTTAACATTAATAATAAATAAGTTTCTTTGGTAAGGAGTTAATGATATCTGGCGTTTGTTTGTGTATTTACAGTAGGCAATTTAAATATACCTAAACTGATAAACCGCGTTTATCATTTTTACTGTTGTCGGTTGTCGGAAAAATTGAAGTAATAGCAAATTGATAGTAAGTCAACAGTGTGTATAAGTTGTGATCTTACTAACGAGAAGAGTAGTGTTAAACAGGACATGTACCAAGCTCTTTCACATATAAAAAATATTTTGACGCGTGTATAATTTCACAGAGTGTGATCAGAAGTTTATAAGTACGCCAGATGGTCCACCAAATGGAACCTTTCATGCTCCGACGATAATTAACCCCGAAGGGGATTCCAGACAATGCGTATATATATTTTTCGCTGGGCCGCGACAACGAGTCGAATTGAAATTCAATTCATTCGGCCTTCGGGGTACACCACCAGAGTGAGTAATTTCTTTTAAATTAAAGCGGTAAAATATCATTTCTTTATTTGTGCCAGTTTTTGCGTCGATATATATGAGCTCTATTTATTGATTAATTATCCATATTTTTGTAGTGGATCCGCTGTTGGGGAGTTACCCGCGTAAGTATTTACATACGTTAGGTATCGATATAATTTGCTCGCGGCCAAACTATTTTTGTTCGCAGATGAACTAGGAAAAACTTGGTTTTCAGTTGTGGTCACGAATATATGGACTTGTACACGGAAATACGATCGGAGAATACCAGCAAGTTGGTGGAAACTCCTTTCGGTGGTCGTTTTTGTGGTCCGATCCCACCTCGCAGGCGTGTGTCTCTTTATCAGGGAATCGCTCTTAGTTTCTACACTGATAAAAATATTACATTCCCTAGCCTGTTCAGCGGTACATATGCGTTTATCAATGCATGTACGTAAGCACTATTTGCCCTATACTTGAAATTTTAACCATCAACTGGTTACACACACACACACACACACACACACACACACACACACACACACACACACACACACACACACACACACACACACACACACACACACACACACACACACACACACACACACACACACACACACACACACACACACACACACACACACACACACACACACACACACACACACACACACACACACACACACACACACACACACACACACACACACACACACACACACACACACACACACACACACACACACACACACACACACACACACACACACACACACACACACACACACACACACACACACACACACACACACACACACACACACACACACACACACACACACACACACACACACACACACACACACACACACACACACACACACACACACACACACACACACACACACACACACACACACACACACACACACACACACACACACACACACACACACACACACACACACACACACACACACACACACACACACACACACACACACACACACACACACACACACAAAAGCTTATTTTCGCTTCTACCAATTCTCACTAATGTTTGGATTGTTCGCAGCTGAATACGAAGTGGGAACCCCAGCTCCTAGCACACCATGCTCATTCAAGGTAGAGTCAGAAAACAAACGCAACGGCAGTATATTATCTCCTACTTATCCGGGCACATATCCGAAAGGTCTTACATGCAGTTATCAATTTATCGGAGTACAAGGTCAACGAGTACGCCTTGAGTTTCGAGATTTCGATTTGTTCTTTGGAGGTCAACAGTATGTAGCTGTTTATGTACTTCCGCGTTAAGCAGCTGCGTACTTTTCTAATTGCCTCCTGTAACATTCTTGTACTTTGCAGTTGTCCCTTAGATTATCTAAAAGTGTACGATGGTTTAGACAATACGTCGGCTGTTATCGGAACATATTGTGGTCAACAACGAAATTTGGTATTATATTCATCAGAGTCTAGTTTGTACGTACTGTTCGTTACACTTCAACGTACAGCGAACACACAAAATCGTGGATTCAAGGGTATCTTTGAATTCTCTGAGAGTTTCGTTAAATTAGGTAAGTTGAAATATCGTAATTCATAAATGCTATAAATCCTATTATTGATCGAGCAATTGTAAAGAGTTGCATTCAGTTGCAAACGACACTTTGTTCTGTACCTTCTTTTTTCTTAGTCTCGGGCGTATATGTGTACGCGTACAATATGCATATATGCGTGGATACATATATGTATATATAAATGCGCGTGAACGTATGTATGTATGTATGTATATGTGTGTGTACACGCTCGATTCTATCTGCTCAGACTTCATCACCACTTACGAGGGTGAGCATATACGAGGATCAGAGTGCGATCAGAAGATATTGAGTAAGAAGGAATCATCTGGATTCGTGGTTAGCCCAAACTATCCATTTCCATATATACCAAAGGTTGTGTGTCGGTATTTCATTTATGGAATGCAAGATTCCCAGCATCTTGAACGCGTTCGATTAGAATTCAGGCAATTTAAAATACCAAAAAATAAGACGATAGGAGAGTAAGTATAATTACATTACTGTTAAAATGTTTCTCTTGTCAATTTTGATCGCAATTAAACAAATTGTTTGTTCGTTTCCAATATGGTACGCAATGTGTATTCCCTTCGTCGTTCTTTTGCCTGCTCGTCGTTTAGTTCATCCTGTACCGATGGATATTTGAAGTTGTATTTGAAAGGACAAGAAGCAACAGATTCTTACGATAAATTCGATTACGAATTGTGCGGTTCGGAGAGCAATCCGAGCCCTGTAGTTAGCGATGGTCCAAGACTCGTGATGGTATTTAGCAGCGGAGAATCTCAAGGACAAGGGTTTAAAGCATGGTAACAGACTAATCTAATACGCAATGTCTTCTTAAATGAGATAACAAATTGCACGATAAGAGAAAGCAGCATATGTGACGGATTTGTTCTTATAGTTACAGTTTCGAAACAGAGTATAAGATACCGGGCACCGCAGCACCCGATGGCAGCTGCACTTTCACGTACCGCAGTTCCTCTCGCAAAAAAGGAGATTTTAATTCTCCGCGACATCCTAGTAATTATCCAAGCAACACAAATTGCACGTATGTTTTCATAGCTACGCCAAACGAACAAGTTACCTTAATATTTGATTATTTTAAAGTTCGAACGAAAAATACGAATATGACGACCGGACATTACGGGTAAGTTGCTCAATTATTATTGTACTATTGTTGCTGCTGATGTACAATCGCACGTGTCTCTTGTCTCAGAGTGGAAATTTGCCAAGATGATTGGTTGGAGATATATAATACGTATCGAGATAATACGGAAAAATTAATAGGTAGATATTGTGGTAGTACGGCTCCGGGACCGGTGGAATCAAATCTCGGTGCTCTCGGCTTAAAAGTGATTCTGCATTCGGATTCTGAGTTGGTTTATAGCGGTTTCAAAGCGCGTTACACGTTCCAAGTAGCGAAACCTATTTTTGGAGGTACGTAGTTGTAATAAAACTCAAATCCTTCGCGTCAAAATTGATTAAATTTCTGTAAATCTTTAATTACTTTATTTAGAAAGCAAGAACGAATACAAATTGTTTGTCGCTGTATTTGTCGCATTGCAGATTGCGGATCGAATATAAGCAGTGTGAATTATGGAGTCATTGCTAGTCCGAATTACCCAAACAAATACGATGGACCCGCAAGAAATCTGGCTAGTAAAACTTGCAATTGGTTTATAAGAGTCCGACCGAATCAGCGAATATTACTACACTTTGAAGCATTTTCGGTAGAGGGTGATCAATCAGGTATATCTATGTTTTTCAATAGTTTGATTCTATCGATTAATGGAGTTGGTTTAAGCGGAGGGCCTAAATCTCAATCGAAGTTGCTAGCAGCAATAAAGAAATGTAATTTCTTCAGTTCGTGGTTGTCCTGCTGCGGTGCTGCGCATATGGTATTCCACATCGTCCACGCCTGTCGAAATGTGTGGTATTCAAACTCTAGACAAAAATTGGACTTACCTCTCTGTGGACAATAACATGCGACTTAGGTTTGTTTTTCGCACAAGTGATTCTTTATTGCTTCCTATTTCGTGTTTATGGCTTTACGAACATCGATCACGGTCGCGTTCACGTTTAAGTGAAAGAATAAAGAACATGAGCATTGATCGCGCCTTTTCTCTACTTTCCTTCTTTCGTTTTAGCTTCATATTGGCTGATAAAGCGGTCGGACAAATGGGATTTAAAGCAACGTGGACCGAAGTGAGCACAAATACCGACTGCCAGAATCAGTTTCTTTGCGGCGAAAATAAATACTGCATTGCAGAGTCACTTCGGTGTAATAACATTCGTAATTGTGGCCCAAACGACACTACGGATGAAGAAAATTGTAAGTTTCGCAATCGTTAGAAAAACATCGAGTCAAGTTCTTAGAAACGTGTGGTTCAATTCTACTCTTCTTTTATTTTGCTTTTACTATCTATAGCTGTGTAAAATTATCGTGTGTATTACGTTCTCATCTAGCGAGGATGACAACGTGCACATTTTCCACCATACACTATACGTGTAAATGTATAAACATTATACCGCCGCGTGAACTCTGTACCCATATGTGTGTGCGTGTGCATACACGAACGCACGTACACACATATACATACATATACGCGCAACAGATAGACACACACGCATTCACACACGCATACATTTCCGAATCCAATATCAAACTTGTAATTTCTTCAGATCATTCAATAGATACTTAATTATTCAATTACTCTACAAATTCTCCAAGCGTATTCTTTTTCTACCGAGTACAGTACCTTTAACTAATCCTTCTCACGTATATGTTATGCATGCATATACGCGAGTGTGTATGTATGCATGCATCTTCTATGGATGTATACTGTATACACATGTAAATATCCGATTAAAATCAAACCTGCTACTGACTATTATACAGTACGATATCGTTCGGAATTGAACCGAATTGTCTATCTCGTTCTCGTTAAACGTATAAAAGTAAAAATAGTGTATAGCAATACGTATTATATATATACATCATTATTATACATATCTGACATCTGAATTTTGATATCTGAATATAAGAATATGATTTTCAGATGATGCAAATTGGTAAATTCTGCACGAATCTGCATGTATTTTTCAGTTCATTTTGCTCGAAGGTATCGGACACGTAATGTTATCGCGTAAATCATGACTTCAGTTCTAGATCGTTTTCGATATCGTTTCGATCGTTTACGATAAAAGAAAGTGTTCATGTTAGTGTTCACCTTGCACACGCGTACAATACACGTTTTCCAAGATATTCGTAATTACGTATAGCAATGGAGTAGGATAGGGGAACAATGTTCGACATTGGAAAAAGATTAACTAGTAAGTAGAGAACAAATGGTAGATAGAAGTTGAAGAGAAAGACAAGTATGTACTGAATTGCGTAATATTTTGGGTAAGTAGTACGTAGCTGTGTGTACAGGTGAAAGAATGGGGAGATTGAATGGGTGAATGACTGTGTGTGGTGTCGCAGGTGCAGCATCAGCCCCATTGTCGCCAGCACTGGCTGGAGTCTCTGCCATGCTTCTTCTCTCTCTGTGCTTTGTGTTCGTGGCCATCTGAGCCCTTCATGAAGCTTCCGACGATCCGGCATGTTATGATCTCCCCTATCACGTGAGTTCACTCACAATATTGCACATGTATCGCTCTTAATTTTTATACAACAACAAATTAATTATACGGTAACTTTTTTAATGTCAACCAATGTATTATGTGTATACAAATAGAAACGCGGATAGACGACGGACGCACAACCACCTTCATATTCATTTTATACACGTATACATGTATAATTTCAAATGTAACATGTAAAGTCATTTGCACCACTGCGCGCTATTATCCCTCTTTATTATTTCACTTATTTTTAAGTAGAAAACTTCTCACATTTGATTATTATGACATATGTACTTACATATACAATACTATATAATTCTACAAAAATTGTATCGAAAATATCGCTGTTTTTCAAGTATACCAATTATATTGTAATCTCGAAATTTACGTTTATATCGTCTTAAAAGTTTCTCTCACGTTTTACACAAAGTTTATAGAAAAAACGCATGATTACAGTGAATGCAAATTTGTTCATATAAAATAGCATGTGGATCTTCTCTCTTTCTCACAGACACGCGTTCACATGTTCGCGCTGTCCCTTTCCTCTTACAGATGCTCCTAATCCACACTCTTTCCTTTTTTCACTTTTCTTTCCTTTCCTCTTCGTTCCTTTTGCTGTTAAATCTTTCATCTTTTTCAAAATTTCTTTCCTCTTTCGAAGACTATCAACCATGTCAACCACGCACATTATCTTCGACTATCTTTTTAACTACATCCTCCGTTCCGCCGCGTTTTATTTTTTCCGCTACCATCTTTCTATAGGTTTCATTTAAATATGCTACGAGTATAAAACAAATGAAGCTAGTTGAATGATCAGCAATCGTACAAAAATTCGATTATACTATCAACGAATTGTACATAATTGTGTAGATTTTATGTTTTGTAAACGAGGACCTAGAAAAGAGACGAAATACAAAAATGGACATTAGAGAGAATATGGACAAGTTTTAGATTGAACAAACGTTTGACAAGAAATTATTATATTTCAGGTGATATAGTTGTACAGACGAATAATTACGCTGTTTCCGTGGGTGGTGCCATCGGTATTATATTGATGTCATTGATCGTTTGTCTTTTGTGTCATCGAAAACTAAGAAGACGAGTTCAAACTGGACATCTTGACGATCTGCGTCATCGCATAGACGAGAGGCATCGATGTTATCATAATGAAAACCTTCTTCAACATCATCACCACTTTCATCATCATCACCATCAGCACCAGCATCAATATCAGCAACAGCAACAACAGCAACAACACTATCAAGATTTGACTAGTGATTCAAGATATCACCTAGAATCATCGACTAGTCCAATGAGCGAGAGCGATGTCGAGGAAGCCAGCAGTCTCAACAGTGTGTGACACATCGTGTCATATTATTTGAACATTTGTTTGTTACCTTATTTTATTCACGTTACAGTTATATTAAACCACTGAAACGTCGCGTTTTTACCTCATTTCTACCTCATTTGTACTCATCTCCCGAGGGTCAGTTAACTACTCCATTTTCGTGTTTAACGAGGCGTTTCATCATAACGATACAGTTATCATCGATATGCGCAAAAGAATCTTCGAATAAGCTTCAACTTGCTCCAATTTTATCAAGATTAGTCTATATTCGAATAATAAAAATCATGTATGCATTTTTTAGAATGATTCATTGTATGTTATTCTGTAACGCACGATTTATTTTCTTGTAGACGTATGGCTGAACGCAGTTTGTATACCTTTCCCCGTTTTCCTTTTTTTTAAGCTTCGACTCCTTTTAAAATAGCGTATTTTTAATATATATAATTATTGATGCAATATGTAGGATCGTATACAGAGAAGCGTAAAGATAAGAACGCGACAAATAGCCGAGCTGTAATTCGGCAATAATTTGAATGGAAAATAAATCGTTGCATCAGTTGTGTTTCATTGAAGATGGAGTGAAAGAAATGAAAAGGTGCGGTTATTGTTAACGATATTTCCGAAGCTCCTGATCCTCCAAAACAATAAGTAAAATATATTTTTACTTCGAGTTAACTAGATTTATCGTTATTGTTACGTCAATGCGTTGTCATTGACACCTTTTTCTTATATTTTCTTGCATGTATTTAGCCGAGTCCACGGGCAAGGTATGGTTGAAGTAATAACATTACGTTATATTCGTATCTGGTTGAAATGTTCGATTATACAGAAGAACATGTTACCACATGCATCCTTCCCTTGCGTAATCCGTTCACGTAGCATGTAACTAGTTGTACGCAACGCGCATACATATTTTACACATGTGAGAACGTGATCATTTCACAAATAGTACCTACGCAATTTCTTTGTAAATGTTATTTTTTTAGTTTTAAGCATATACAATTGTCGAGCGATAAGATCTGTAGCTTGAAATGGCCAGTTCAAGTTTACGTAGTTGCGTCCTATTTCTTGGTGTGATGAGTAATATACATACAGTGGTTTCATAAATCACGATATGTATATTTTTGTGATAAAATTTTTGACCCCTACTTCTATTTTTTTAATTCGTACGATTAAGGAAGATTATTTGAACGATCCAAACCTACCATGATACCTATTTGTTTCTCAAAAGTTTTATATTTCCCATTACCTTAGATTATTGTTTACTTTCAACCAATTATACAATTTTTAGACAGAACAACTCAGTTTTATGTTGTATGCAACGCACACTAACAAAACAGGACTGTTAAGAAATACGTCGCGTATAAATGTATAGGAAATCTATAAATGCTGCCATTTGATATGATAGTTACATTATACGATTTTATACAAGTGAGAATCAGACGTAATCAAACATAATCGTGTTTGATCAAATACCGAACACGAAATGATTGAGCAGCAAGTTACATTGACAAAAAAATTTTACGCGTCGAATTTTTTACTTTTTGCTCCCCCTTTACTTAATAGTTATCTTATGTTTAAATGTTTCGCATTTTGCATGAATCTTGAAAGCGGACATAGATTTTAATTTGTGTCTAACGAAAAGAAAAATAACGATAGCGAGAGAAAAAAGAAGGGGAATAGAAACGAAGAAACAAAGAAAAATGTATAGCCAAATACACAGGGAACGATGGTATTTAACATGTTCATAGTAAATGAAGAGAATAACAAATTTGATAGGCGTGAAGTACATCGCATTTCTAAAAAAAAATCACACGAAACAAGGAGAAGTGCGCGAAATAATAAAGGATGTAACAGATTTGTGTGTGATGTATATTTGTGGTTTCGATTTTGATTCAATTTCCCTTTTTAGCAGGATTTCACAGAACAAGACAACTCCCTTTTGTTTCTTTTTTGCTTTCTTTTATTTTACCGAAAAACGTTCGATCTCGTGAAAAATACATATAAAAGACTACAAATCATTATATTTAAAATGAATGCATTTAATCGCGACATATATTCATTTTCCATAAATTAGCGCCGGAAGTAAGATCATGTTATGTTCAAAGGTTATGTTCAAACATATGTTGCATCATATGTATGCAATTACATTATCATCGAAGTTACTAATTACGAGTTCTGCAAGATGTTATCGTAAACATGTGTTCAAATGTAACACACCTTACTAGTACGATACATGCCATTTGATGTTATTTGAGAAAAAGGGACAGCGAGAAACGGGACACGGGGAAAAACATAGAAATAACGGTAAAACTAAATCGAATCAGAATGATGAAACGAAAACGAATCGCATTATTTACATTATACACTTTTCCTCAATTCGATCTTATAATTTGCATTTCATCATAATAAAAAAAAATTTAAGGTCGAGTAAAATAAAAAGTGAAGAATGACGATTAAACAATTAACTGTACGATTGTTAGAGAAATAGAGTTGATGGACAAAGTTAAAGAAGAAACAAGCATGAAGCAATGGACGACAGAAAATCATATGAAAAAATGTTAGAAGATATGATGATACAAAGGATTATAAAAGGAGCATGACAGCGGTAAAAGAAAACAACGAAAGGGAAACGAAGGAGAATATTCGATTAGACTTGCACATATTGCTCGTCATCGGTATCTCCATTAATCGGCTTAGAAGAATGATTTTGATGTATCTGTTCGTAATCAGCGTTAAACAATATATTTTTCTGCACTTTCTCGTATCCATTCGGATCTTGTTCGAGTTTATATGTATTCACTTGTTCGTATGGCGGTTCCTCGGTGCGAGTAACACTCATATATTTCACGCTCTCGTAATTAGGATCTCCGTGATTAACAGATTCGTAATTAGGGTCTGTGTCGCTGTCACCAGGTCTGCAAACTGAAGCGTAATTTGGTTCTCCTGAATCATGCGGCATACTTTCATAATTCGGTTCCGAGTCCGTGTCTGGATCCATTTCGGATCTGCTCCTTAACTTTACTTTCTCGTATCCTGGATCTTCACTACTAGCGTTACTAATTTGTCGATGTTTGAATGGCATGGAATAAGAAGAAGAAGATGATGATGAAGATGATGATGAAGAAGTTGAAGGAGAAGAAGTAGAAAGGGAAGAAGTGGTTGGTAAATCTACGTTATTTCGTAAAGAAATCGGAACGGAGTTGCTAGTTTGCTGATAGTCTGTTGCAGTATCCATAGTGAGGCATTGTTGTGGGCATAACACTTCATAGTTCGGATCACAGGACTCGCGAGTGGTTGAATGTTTTTTAGGTAAATCACTGTTCATAACTTCGTATCCATGACCGAGCGTGAAATTCGACGAGTCCAACCCGTCATCAGTTCTAGATGATGAAGGAGGGGATGATTTCATCAAAACGTCCGTTTCCGAATGAAAATTACCGACATCACCGACGGAATCGGATTCTTTCTTTTGTATTTCCATAGAATCATGACTAGATGATGCAATTCTGTTACTTTCAACAAGACTTGATTTTCGAACAGAACCAAGGACAAATGTATCAGAATGCAGGCTTCCCTGAGAATTTGAATGCGCGTCATTTTGCTGTTCTTCCGCGTCTTTCTTTTTCTTCATTACTTTCGCGTACATATCCTCTAAAGATTTCCCACTGGATAAAGCTGATTTCATTCGGTCATCGCTTTTTGGCTTCTTCTCGATTAATGCGTATACTTCTGCTGTCCCTTCCGGCGGAGGCGGTAACGGTGAATTCGCTTGACGTTTCTCAGGCTTTGGCGATCCAGGATTTACGATAGAACTATTGGCACTCGACGACGAAGCTGTAATTTTATGATACGAGACTTGGTAAAAAGATATTTATTAAATAATTGAAACGCGCGAATACGCGTATAAAATAGAATGTGAAAAGAATTATTACCTTGTCTTGAATGAGCATGTGCAACATGCCGTAAACTATCGACGCTCGGTGGTTGCGGAGCAGGGTAAGTTTCATCGGAACGAGATGGAACGCGGGAGAATAATGTTTGCTCGTTTTGTACTCGTTGAATCTCTGTCATCGTCGGTTGTATTTGTGCGTATGTTTCGCTACCGCTAGTGTATACCTTGTCTTGTTCGTCGATCGCAGCATACATTTCGTCTGTCAAGTGAAACAATATCGCTTATCAATGATGAAAAAAGTAAGAAAAAATAAAGCAAAGAATACACGTTGTGTACACCGTTCAAATACGTATATACCAGAATCATCCGATACAGTCGCATAATGAGGATCCGTGAGGGGTCGAACAGATTGGCTCTGTCGACAAATTGTCTTCGTCTGCGCAATTATGTTAGCTAGGGGCTCTCTTACACTGATGCTTGTGTATCCTTCTATGTGAAATGAAAAAGAGAAAAATATATATAGAAGTATATATGCAAGAACAGAAGAAGAAAGAATATATATAAAAAGATGAACGTATAACGCGGGGATACGTTTCGCGTTATAAGAAACAGCGTTATACGAAGCATATGAATTATGTACATATATGGACTATGAATATAATGTTATACGAATCCACGTATATACAAATGTGTATGGAGTGCGCTTTCATCAAAGTAAGTCTAAAAAGCGTAATCGAAGATTGACTTATAGGACAGAAATGTAAATATTTACTAGAATCTTGAGAATCTCCGCTAAAATGTTGTTGCGGGCTATTTGACTGAGGTTGCGGTGGTTGAGGCAGTAACATTAACAGTGGTGGCGTCATGTAAGGCAAATCTTGATTAGCTTGTACTCCACCCGATATGGCATTGGCCGCCTGAATATCACCTGGCCCGGTTTCGGCAGACAAAAGAGAATTATGCGACGAAGATCGACGAGTCCTTGGTGGTGCAACCGGGTTTCCGTTACTTTGAGACGTTGACGTCGATGGCTTGTCGACATTGCTTGCTTGTTTAATATTATTTCTGTAATATTTTTTATTCATTTTCCGCTTTTAATGTAAAAGTAGAAGTAGAGAAATATATATTCAATAGTATTATCATAAAAAAAGGAAACTATAATACAACTATACTTATGACTCTGCAATCATTACCGACTCGATTGATTAGCCTCTGTTTTTTGAACATTTTGAACTTGAGCATATGGATGTTCAACTGGAATAAGCATAAATGGTTACATTATAATGATGATTTGAAATGATTGATAATAATGATTTGATAATTATTTTTGTGTTTGTACCATTGTCTGAATTAGGGGACGACGCAAATCTTAAATATTGATCATCCGAGGTTTCTTGGCTCAATGATGGATTTTGATGTAAAACTTCTGGCACGTCCAGTTTAGATATCTGCTCTTTTGCTATAGACATATTAAAAGCGATATTGTCGTTAAAGAAAAGGAGACACATTCCTGACATGGAATATGTTTTCGATAAAATTAATCTATGTCTCATTGTATGTAATTAATAAACGTCAATCTATTCTATCGGATATACCTGTATCTCGTACTGTGGCATAGAGCTCGGACTGATCACCGATCGTTTCAGTGATTTCATAAATATCTTGAGATACAGATGTTCCTGTATTTTCATGCCTCTTTCCTTTGTCTTTTGGAATATCTGGAAGACTTCTGTTGGCACTGGTTGACCTATATATGTAATGCAAAAGTTTCATAGTTTCAAGTCAGATAGAGCTCATCATTTCATATAATACTAGTTGACATATTAATAATTGTGATTAAGTTTGAATATTTCGCAAACTATTACAAGTTATGAGAATTTATATTTAACAAAACAGCATAACGCTAAATCGATATTAGGACAGGAACCTTTTTCCACTGTCAATGATATCTTGCGTTGCTATACGAAGGGCATCTGCCATCGGAATCCCATTAAAGCCATCATTGTCAGAATCATTTAGAGTTACCATTCCAGCAAGGCCGAGAAATTCATTCCTATTTAAAGGAATTACAACTGAACGTATCCTTGTAAATGATACGAAAAATTGCATTCTTAATTCCAATATAAAATGTAACTTTATTATTGTTAGCAGAAATGTATGAAATGTTATTCTTTTCAGAGATGATAACGATAATTCATAAGTATAAATGTATAAACAGTTTACTTGTTCTCATTACGACGACAGCTACAAATACAAGCAACAATGAGACCAAGGAAGCACAACAATGCTCCAATAGAGACGACCCAGTAACACCAGGCACCTTCCTCGAGAAAAGGTTGTATCATGTTATGGCATGTATTCTTAGGTCCTATAAAGCGTAACTTTTTGAAACATAAACAAAGTGAAACACGATTCTTTGAAATAGTAACAATTACCTTCCAGTCAATTCATCGCATGCAAATTGACTCAATCCATATTTGATATCTTGTAATTTAATACTTTCAGGAAACTGATAAAATGTTGTGATGTTTTTTCAGTTATGTTACTTTTCTTGATTTCTTGTTTCTTCTGGTGTCTTACCTTTCTCCCCCTCCGCGCCCTCTCTCTCTCACACACACACACACAAAATCTCTGCTGTTTTTGCATTACATTTTGTTTAGCTACGTTATAGCATACACTTTTTCAGATGTTTGATATGCTTACATAATATTGAAATATTTGAAATGGATGTACGATGACCGATCGATTGAAAATAGCCAAGATCATTGTTTTTTTGATACTCATATGTAATAATATCACTTATATGCAGTTAGTTCGTTGGTTTGTGACTGAAAAGAAATAACATTTGTAAGAATTGTTCGAGTAAAGTACGGAAACTCGTGGCAAACATACATACAAAATAAGTATCGAATACTAGGTTTATATCATTTGGTCCAGAATGCTGTAGAGAATTGACATTTCTGTAGAAACAAAACCAAAAAACCAGAACTTTTTTTTATAAGAAAATATTTATATGTAAGTAGATAAGTACATGAGAATATCGATATGTCACGTAAACGTCTTTTGACATATCACGATCGCGAAATAAGGTTACGTTATCTATGCACGCGGTGTGCGTTCTCATAGATACGAGTAGATACATACGACTCCCTACTCACACATTTCTAAATACACGTAATTTGCGACTTCTCGATTGATACGTTTCGATAATCGATAACGGGTAGAAATTAAATATGACATTTAAAGTGAAAGCATTATCAGATGAGATATACATGTGAGATGTACATATTACACATGTAGAATGGATATGGCATCTTATGGATCTCAGTGTCATGTTCTGAAATACCGATCGTCCAAAAAATCAAAGATTTTGTTATGCCATCTATGAACCAGAGTTGTGAGGTTAAGAATCGCGCGCGCGTGTATATGTGTCACATGATATGCATGATGGAATCGTATCTTTCAACTTCTCCAGCTTCGTTTTCAAAAAAATTGAATAGTCATAGTAAATACAGAAACATTTACATACTATGTATAAAGCAGTAAATAGTGAAAAACAATGTATTAAAATATATAACTTGTATAATTCATATAAAATATATAAATTCGTTGCTAAAAGAAAGAGAGGGAGAGAGTATCAACGTAGGTATACGTTGATTTATATAATATATAAATTGTATGTAAGGTGGTGTTATGTATGAGGCTGCACACATGTGGGGCTTATCTATACGTACATACACTTACTTGCGAGCGTGAGTTTATACGAGTTACGTTAAATGAACATAAACACGACGACACGCTATTGACAATGAGTGGAACATGAGCGAGTAAACTATGAGGTATACGTGTGTATGCAATGGAAAGATGTGGGTTATTTCGTTATCTGTCACACTTGGTATCAGTGGAGCAAGCAATGTAAACAGGTAAAGAGCCGTCGCAATATCCGTAAAATTGTTGCGTTTGCAGTTGGGACTGTGATTGCGGTTGAGTTTGAGTAGGAGTTAAAAGGGTATGCATGAGATGCATCGGTGGTTGAACCAAAGGCATTATTTGGTGAGGTATAGTTGGAATGGAAGAAGCCATCGTATTCCCACGATCTAACGTGGATTCGTTGTAAGAGCCGAGATAAAGTTCATGATTGATCTTGCCGGAGTAAGCGCTGGCAGGCCTGACCATCGAGGCGTCAGGAATACTGCTGGTCGCGGCCGCTACGGCTAAACGCGTTTGATCGATTCGGTCAGAAGACCACCTAAATCGGCACACACAAATCACGACTACGATCAGAGCTATGAACGCTACGACGCCACCAACGATACCAATGATAAGTGTATCGTCCGTACCGGCGGAGGAACCGGCTGACGAAGAAGTTGCATGATCGCCATTGTAATGCTTATTTCGATCAGTGTTTTGAACCGGTGGTGCTACGGTCCAAATAATCTCAGGTTCCGAAAACGTCGATCTGACGGTAGGATTGGAATAAGAAGAGGAGGAGGAAGAGGAAAAAGAATCAGAGGAGGATGAAGAAGCGAGAACGTGGATGGTGGCGGTGGTATCGTTGATGAATTCATCGACAGAGGCGCCGGAGGTCAAGTCGCAAGACAATCGATGTTCCGCGAGATTGATTAAGATCGATCCAGCTAAGTTGATCGGAGTGGAACAGAGAACGAGATTTGAAGGATCGTCATCGCCGATCGTTTTAAGCCATTTCCAGAGTTGTCTCGCGTCGCAATTGCAATCGATCGGATTATAGCGGAGTCCCTTGATCTTGACGGAACCGATTCGTTCATCAAGCGCCGAAAGGAATTGGCTGGATAGAGTGGTGAATTTGCTGCCGGAGATGTCCAATTCCAATTCGGTGGAGCGGGGTACCGGAAAGAAGAGAGCTGCCGGTATCGAGTCGACGGAAGTATTTTTCAGGCCGAATATCAGCTTGGGTCCTCGAACGCCGACTAACGAGCTAGATAGAATGCTTCTGAGCCTGACTCCTCGTAGGATCACCTCCTTAAGTCGAGGGTGCGAACGTATCGATAATTGTTCGTTGCTTACCGAGGAATCCTTGATCTCGATATCGAGCGTTTCCAAATTGTTCATTCGTTTGAGTACTCCCTGGACGTCGAAATAGCCCAATTTAGGGTAATCGTAGGCGGCCAGAGAGCGAAGCTTTCCGAGCGATTTGAAAGCGGTTCGCTCGATTCTCGTACAATTCGGCAGATTTGTCATCGTCAGGAAACGCAAGCCGGCCAAGCCATCGAAATCGGTCTCGTTGATCGTTTTCACATGGTTGTCGGATATGTCTAATCTCCGGAGCGCAGGCAAGGCTTGGAATGCTTTGTTCAAACTAGATAAATCGGAGAATTTGTTCCCCGAGAGGTTTAACGTTTCGAGCATGGTAGCGCGTTCGAGAGTCGTTACCCGGAGGTCGGATAGCCCGTTCCTAGAAAGATCGAGCCGCTTAAGGAACGGCGTCTCGAGCCTGACCATCAGACGTTCGATCCCGGTATTCGCCAGGTTCAAGAATCGGAGAATCTTGGCCTCTCCCAATATTCCTTTGACGGCGTTCTCGCTCAACGGATTATCCGATAAATCTAGTTCCTTCACGTTGCTGGCGACCTCTTGACTAAATAGTTCAACCATTCTGTTTCGAGCTAGGTTTAACCTAAAAAGGAACCCAATTTGTCGCTGTAGCGATCTAATCGGGATCTCGGTTAGCCGATTCCCGGACAAATCGATACTTTCGACGGAACGGACTCTGCTTGGATCAAAGATCGTTTCCGGAAGAGAAGTTAAACGATTGTCCCGAAGATTCAAATGCTCCAAACGAAGAAGACCCTCCATCGTCCTCTCGCTTAACGTCTCGATATCGTTGCCCGAAAGATCGATTAGCTGCAACTGCGTAGAATTATGAAAAGCTAGTTCGTTGACGGACTCGATCCGATTCGCGGCAAGATTTAGCGACCGAAGACGAACAAGCTGAGAAAAGGCGAACTCGTCGACGGACTTCAACTCATTTCCCGACAAATTCAGCCATTCGAGAAATTGCAGAGGTTTCAGGTAGTCCGTGGGAAAGTAGAGAAATCGATTATCCGAGAGACGAAGCTCTCGTAATCTCGGATGTATCGCGAAGGCGGTCGGTGATAATTGATCTATTTGATTCGAAGACAAATCGAGGCTCTCCAAGCCTGTTCCGGTGTCAAAGTGTTCTCCGGTAAACGAACTCAACCTGTTACCTCGTAAATTCAGTTCGTATAGATTGGTCAATCCCACGAAAGCCTCGTTCTCGATATGCTCGATGCGATTCTCAGACAAGTCGATTCTCGAAAGATTAACCAATCGGTTGAACGTACCTGACTCGATTCTTTCCAATCGATTACCGGCGATCGATAACCTCTCGAGTGATTCGAGGTTGCGAAACAGTACCGACGGCAGGATGCTTAGATCGGTACGCGAAACGTCGAGATCGAGCACGGAGAAGGGAAACACCGGAGGGAAACCACCGTAAAGCGGGTTCGAGCTCAGATTTAAATATCGAATTCTTTTCAAATGATCGAACGTTTCCGGAGAGATTCGCGTTAGCCGATTCCCCGATAAATTAAGAGAGATCAACCGTCTTAAAGGAAGCTCGCCGATCGAGGTCAGTCTATTGGAGGATACATCCAACTCGAGCAGCGTTTCTTCCAATCCAACGAACGTGTCGCGTGTGATCCTTGACAGCATATTGCCGGATAATTCGATACTGATCAACCTTTCAAAGTCCTGGAACAGACCAGCGGGTATTTCTCGAACTAAATTTCGAGTGAGCGCCAGTGTTACGAGATTCGAGGCTGTTGCTTGGATCAACTCGGTCGGCAGAGCAGCGACTCGATTGAATTCCATATGAAGATGAGCTAAAGATGGTAACCTAGTCAGAGCCAGGGCTGGTACTAGTAAGATGTTGTTGTCTTGCAACGAGAGCCATTTTAATTTGTTTAAACCATTGAACGATGATTCGTCAATCTGCAACAGATTCGATTTTATTTCAATTTAGATAAGAACGCGATCAACCTTTTCTCTCTTTCTACCTCAACACCTCGTCTCTTTCTGTCTCTTTCTCTCTCTTTTTTACTCTTGATACGTACCGTGCGTAATGCGTTCAGGCTTAAGTCGAGCCTAGTTAACTCGGACAACTTGGAAAACGTACCGAAATCTAGCCGACCGATGTTATTTCGGCTAAGATCCAATACTTGCAGCTCTCCCAAAGATGATAAATGTCGATGATCAATCTCCTAAAAATGAAAACCGTTCTCTTTCGTCTTTTCTCCTTCGAAAAAAAAAAGAACAAAAAAAGCGTGGTGCGGATCGTAGTTACTTACATCGATTAAATTGTTCGACATATTGAGAAACTTCAAGTCCGTTAAATGTCTCAGTGCATCGCTTGGAAATTCTCGCAGAAAATTTGTTGACAAATCCAACTGCAATAAATTGTAAGCCCCTAAAAACAGTCATGATTCTATAGTTTTATTCCTTCATTCGATCGTTCTCATGAACGAATTACGAACTTATAGTGCTTCGTTAGAACAACGTGTAACCAAACAAATA